AGGGGCACGTTGCGAGGCCGGGTCGCACGCTGGGTTTGTGTCCCCCTTGGTCGGGACTGCCCTTGCTGCCGGGGAGCCCGGAGGTTTGAGGAGCTGGGTGATTATTTTAATTTTCTTTTAAGGAGCAGCACTTACTGCGCAGTGGCTTTTAGAGGGCTTTAGCAATGTTTTGGACATTCATTTTATGTGTCTGCTTCATCCAAAGAAGTACTTCAGGAAATAGGGGGGTGAGGAGGGGTTTGGGGGTCAGTGTCTCCTCTCCTTTCAGTGCTCAGATCCAGAGGTGGGGAGTTAAACACTGCTCGCTTTATTGTAGTTCTCTATGGTTCTGATGCAATGCCAGGTAGCGCTGTGGATCCACAATTATAAAGCGTGTGCTAGGTTTTTTATTCTATAAACACATCATGTAATTGTTTTAACAACTCAAACGTCGTGCTGCACATGCAGCAGCATTTTTAAAAACTTGACTATCAAGAGTTTTCAAGCAACTCATTTAGGTTCTCTTATGAATGTGGTTATGTGAGTGCCCATGCAAGCTCCTGGAAAATATCAGTTCCTCTTCAGGAACAGGAAAAAAAATGAAGCTGATTCAGGATTATAGACATAGAGGCATTGTTGCCTTGGTGTAGCTGTAACCGTGGCTTGTGAAAGGAATGGAAATACCCTTCTTCAGAGGAAAAAGGAACAACCAGCTATGTTCTTTACGGTTGTTTTTTTTAAAGTTTTGAGCCAAGTGCTTGCAGAGTATCTTGAGACTTCCACTTGACTTCCCTGTCCATGCTCCGGCTGCTCCATCGGTCGTGCCTGCTGCACGGTGACTTTGACCCTCGCAGCAGTCGGTGGGTGGAGGTCTCTGTCGCTGGCAGTGGTGGTTGACTTGGTTTGTGCTCACAGCTACGCGAGCCCGAGCGCAGTGTAACCTCTGATGAGTTCATAATCATCGCAGCGTGATTCAGTGTGTGGAGGAGCTGCCACGGTCTGCGAGCTTATCTCTTGTTCCTGAAGTGGTGCATGCCAAAGATAACTCGCCCTGGTTTGTTAGCTTGCATGGCTGTACATATGCTTAAACTGCTCCTGATATTTATTTTCAGTTAAATACTGGGAAATTACTTTCAAAGGAAGAATTTTTCTCTTGTTCAATGGGTCTGCTGAGGAGACGCTTTAACGGTCCATAGTGTAGCTAAAAGGAAGTTTACCTTTAGGCAAGCAGTACATAATTATCTTTGTTTATGCTCTGAACGCTTGCTTGTTGTCCAAAAATGGTGGTGTATCTTAGACTTGGGGAAAATATTTATACCATTAGACTAAATAATGAGTTCCTTGCGGTTTGTGATCTGTGTGATTGCACCGGCCAGGATATTTCATTGAGTACAGAGGGGCAATTTGCCCTGGGTGTTTAATGTTCTCGTTTCTAATGCTGTGAAACTCCATCTCCTGGTTAAGGGTTTCAGCATAATGGGTCAGGTTCCCCAGCTGAGGAGCACCAAGCTGTTGGGCAGAACGTGCCTGTTTGCATAGGGGAGAGCTGGGAAATCGAATAGGGCTGGCATGATCTTTGATTAAAAACTGGCGTGAGGGGAGGGACAGGGGCACGTAACCAGAAAGGGCTCTTGGAAAGGTCAGCTTAGGAGCCTTTGCTGCCGGAGGGCTGGGAAGGGATTTGGGTTTGGGCAGGGGAGGAGCAGCTTCGTTGCGTGTTTATGAGCTCTTTGATCCAGAGGTGTTTCTTGTTTCTGTAAAATAACAACAGAAAATGAATAGAGCTTTTTGCCATTTTTCAGCTCCCCGGTGCTGAGTGGCCGTAAAAGGGAGCTTGGTATTGTTACAGATTCGGCACAACCAGTATCTGCCAGGTGTGCTCCAGGGCATTGAAAGGTTCTCTGTAAATCAGTGCAGAGCACAAGTGCAATTTAGCCAGGTTTTCAGGACAGAGACTTTGTTTGCAGCCTCTGCTCCCAGTCTGTGGCCTCGGCAGCATGGGGTAACTGTGCAAACGGCAGCTGAAGGCTGTCTGCAGCAGCAGGTTGCACACCAGGAAACTGAGGCTGTACCATGTGTGTATCTTTAATGCTACCGGTTGTTGTTGTTGTGTAAATGATTGCTGTGCAGACTGGCTCCTGTTCCTTATTGCTGCAAGTATTTTTACCCATATATTTTAGGACAGGGTTTGTTTATGTTATTAAGCTGATTAAAGACTATAGCCGTGGAAGCATGTTAAGAATAGCATGGCTTATTTCTCTAACACTGTGAAGTAGAAGCCACAATGGGAGTATTTAGAATACAGAATAGAAACGATCGCTGCCCAGACTAATAGCTTTAAAATGTCAATCTGCAGCTGGTGGCTGTCCTCGCTTTACGAGCGTGCTGTTTGGTGGCTAATGGAGAGGTGCAGCTGCACATTTCCATGTCATCTCCTCTTAAGAGGAAAGCATGGACGCAGTCACGTTGAAAGTCCACGTTCAAAATCTACTGTCCTGCGGTAGCAGGGTTAGATGATACACTTTGTTGTGAGGTCTCCAAGAAAACTTCTCTTTTTTAGTTCTGCCTTCAAATGCCCCGAGACTAACCCAACTTGATGAGTTGAAGAAGTTGTTGGCAGAAGAAGTTGTTGCCATTTCCCATCAGAACTGATTCGGTCTCAGCAGTTTAGTCTGAGCAAGGACCAAGGTGGTTTTGAGATTAAGCCACGTGTCTCCTGAGCAGACGTTCTGATGTACTCATGTGAATTTGCTGCTTCTATTGCGCTCTCTCCTGTTTTGTATGAAATGAACAAGTTGTCAGTCCCACTCTTTC